TCCCGCTACTGCTACTGCTACTGCTACTGCTACTCTGACGACGACGACGACGAGAACTACAGCCTACGACTTTTGCTTATGATCCGGTCCTGCTTTTACTGTCACCTCTTGATGTCTTGCTGTTGTGGTTTATATTTGCATGAATCCGACGAAGGCTCTAACTAGCCACAACTCTGCTGCACGTACGCGCAATGCCGGAAACTGCTGGATCTGATGGCATCCATCTTGGCTCCCTGTGAGACTGGAATGTGACCGACATTATCGGGGTATAATATCATTGGAATTAATTGAGTGCGAGTTGTTATGCTAAGCTAAAGGGTTTCAGAAGAGCAAACGACCATCCTTGGCATGTAAGCCCCAGCGTGTAGCCACAGCAGAAGCTACCAGCAGGATGTTTATCTTTCCCATTGCTTCCAACTTTTCCGTGCACAGGCCATGCGGTCTACTGGCATCGCCGCGGGCATTGCCGCCATGCTCACGATCATGTGGCTCAGTTGCTGCTGTCCGGCTTGTTCGGGTTTGCTTGCCGGAAAGAGACGACCCCCCAAACTTGGGATTGTACTTTTCTTCAGGCGGCTAGAGGGACGCTTTCGTGGCGCTTTTGTTGGTTGGAATCTGGTGAAGGTGGTCCTACTTCAAGGGTGGCGTGCACGACCTCGTGGGGATGACCCGTGAAGCTGCCTGGCGCATCCACACCACGATCGGCACGCTGACCCTCATTCTGGGTGTTGCCCTTCGGCTGCCATCTTGAGCTCAACAGTCGCCCCTTACCCTTCTGGCCCAAAGCTCAACCCCTGAACGGGAACATGGCATGCGCAGCCACGTCCCCAGGTGCATGGGGCAGTGGCAATCGCGGAGAAGGGTGCTGATATTCAGCAGCAACTTGGCCACAAAACAATCATACCCAAGGATGATCCTAGGCCAGTAGGCCAAGGCCCTTGACAAGTAAGGAATGCCTTCTGGGTTGTTGGCATTCCAGCCGCTGTCTTGATGATCCTTGGAGTGGTGCCGGCACCTTTCGTGAGCTATGACAAGTTCAAGCTTCTGCACTTCATTAGCATGTGGCCAGGTGGCACTTTGGGAAACTGTTTTCCATTCGTCGTTCCTCTCCGGGTACCTATTCAGAAATGCTTTTTAAGGGTCCCAAGACTACAGCCCAGGTGGGGATATATCGCTGCCCTCATCCATATGTTCGACCATGCGATCAGCTTCCAAACCATCGCCTCCATTTCTGTGGCCGTCGGGAACGGAGTTGCCATGCTGGCTTTCATTGTCCAGAAGGTCTACACCAAGGCCAGAGCAAATAAAGTAATGCATTGGCCCGAAATTCCGAGGCCAGCGACCAATCGTGCCTTACAAGTCCCGGCATTTTTGTACATTCGTGTTTGACCTTGTGGCTGCCGAGATTCCTGGCAGAGGCGGCACATGGGAAGGTAACCGTGAAGACGGCGGAGCTTGTCAACGAGAGTGGTGGTCAGCACCTTTCCCGAACGTTCTCTGCGATGTTTACGCACACAGGTTTCTGGATTCTAAAGGTGTTGAAGCAATCGTTGCTCGGGAGCACGACTCACTGTGACTGGCGCCAGGTTCGATTTGTTCTTTCAGGCTTGGTCGATGTGTGTTTTTGTGTTTTTGTTGGCAGGTATATCGAATCGGTCGTGTGGCTATCTAGACATCGCTTGGCCATATGCAACTCACAGCGAGTTCCTATTGGCGGACACAGCACATGGAAAGATGACCGAACATGCGCAAACACGAAGCACCGACGGATGATCAGCTCTGCCCAGGAGGGAGAGAGAGAGTAAGAGAGAGAGAGGGAGAGATTCTCTCCTGTGCAGCCCGAGACCTGCGGTGCGCGGCAACGCGCGCGGGGGGATGCGATCCTGACCCCTCTGTCTGTGCTGACGGAGCGAGAGAGACAGAGAGAGATAGGGGGCAACTCCTCTGACCACAACCCTGGCGAACAAAAGAGAGAGAGAAACGACAAAAACAAAGCCTGTAATTAAAACAGGTGCCGGGGGCTTAACCCGCCAAGTGCACCTCGAACCCGAGTAGTGATCCTAAGTACAGCCAAGCCTTCAAGCCACTAGGAGCGTAGCTCTTCAGTGGATAGGGTTTTAGAAGTCTGTCTTCTCGTTGACCCGCGTCTTTATGCTGCGTAAGGCACCTGTTCCTGACCATGCTCCTTGGTGGCACTTGAGCTCTCGTACCCCGCAATGTTAAGTTCATGCAGGTTCAGAAGCGCGGGCATCGGAGCCCAGTCCTCTGTCGTGGGGGCCCCTCCCTAAACCTGAAAACCTCAACCCCAAAACCCGAAATTCCGAAAGACCTGAACACTAAAGCCGTAAACCCCAAAACGTCCCTAACGAGGTCAGTTCCCAACTTCAAGTTCAAAGCCGGTCAGTGGGCTCACCTCGCAGTGGGCAAGGCTTCGCCTGTGCCCCACCCTTTCACCCTCGTCCCGGGCGAGGCCAGCGACGAAGTCAGGACCTTCGAAGCAAAGAGCACCTGATTGTGGAGTGTTGCATAGGCCTTTGTGCCAGGAAAAAGCCTTACAACTTAGTTCCTCCGACGCCTCAAGACAACTAAATATGGTGAGATGCAGACCTGGAAGCCTGGCTTGCAGCTTCTCCCTCCACCCACTCTGCAGGATTTTTATGAAGATCAACAGGAGCGGCTTCACATCGAAGATGGCGAAGCTTTGCAGCCCTGCCCGGGGCTTATGAAGCTTTGCAGGTCGAGGTTGCTGCAGAGAGCAATGACTGTCGAAGCGCAGTCAATGCAATGCACGAATTTTTCCAGTAACATATCTACATACAAGGCCCTTATCGAAATGCTCCGGTTTACTTCCTTCTTGGAAGTTGGTTGTACTAGTTACTACTCAACACCAAGTGCCGACAAGTTGTACAACCACACGAGCAACCCCAGGATGCAACCCCTCCTCCCATGAAGCTGGAGGACTGCCGGGAATGTGGGGATTTCGGTTTGCTTTGGTCATGACTTGCTGCTGTTTTGTCACCCCTTGCAGCTGGTAAGCTTCCTCCGCACTTCGCTTCGCCTCCCCCCACTCGTCCAACCTCTGTGCTCAGCAGCCATTGCCTCCGCAGCAACGAACCTCGATGACTGCCGTAACTGTATGAAAATGGCGGTACGCGGTCTGCATCATGATGCCTGATGATGCCACCAAGGCAAAAACTTCCACTCTGCCGCTGCTGCTGATGACGATTGTAGTTTGTAGTTTTCAGCTCAGTACCGCTGCTCTTTTCAGCTTTGGTCTCATGGCACTGAAGCCACTGCTGACTCGTTTTGATCGGGAGGGCCCCTATGGGCGGCCGTCCGTTCCAGCGCCGGGGATGGAGCGCACCGTATTTGTGCTTGGAGGCCCCGGATGCGCTGTCTTGCTGCATTAGTCGAGCTAGCAGAGCTTTCGGGATTCGGGATGGAGAGCTTGAGTCTGTCAGACGTAACCGGTTGAGGCTTCTGCGTATCTTCGCAGCAATCCGATGTTTCCAGCATTGATGGCCCTCCGCTCCTTCACTAGGTGTGGGAATTACGCCTGGTCTCTCGCTGGCCAAAGCCGCAGCAGAAGCAGCCTCCGGAACAAAGGCGTGGCACAGTGTCGCTGGAGGATCCAGACATCAATGAGTGGTAGGCATGCGAAGAGGAGCTGTCCGAAGGTCCTGTTGAGTCTTATCCCTTCCACTCGAAGCCGCTGCCATGATTCAGGTTGCCATGCTCCCTGGAAGCAAGAGGAGCAGCTGTGAGAGGCTGTCGCGTTTGGGTGCCGAATTCAAGAAGATGAGTCTGATGCCAGTTGAACATCCCAACCTCTCCAAAGTCTGACATGTGGGATCAGATGACCGAACACAAAGTGGTCAGGACAGCTGTCGTGCAAGACCCGTCAGGAACAGCCAGGTGCCTTCTTTCCCGTGTTCCAATTCAAGAAGCCACACATATGTATGTATGTAAGTATGTAAGTAAGTATGTATGTATGTATGTACGTATGTATGTATGTATGTATGCATGCATAATTTCCTTGCCATCTACGTATGTGTGTATATATATATACATGTACGTACATCCTAGCCCCGTGAACCCTTCCGAGGTATTGGGCCCTCAGAAGCCTTGAGTTGCTCAACAAATCAGCTCCCCTCCTGGCGCCTTGGCGGGTTCGCCGGGCTTTGCAAGAGCACGAGACATGTTGCTGTTGAAGGTAGTTATCAGGGGGTATAAGTAGGGTGACCGCAATTGCCTTCTGAAGACGTGGAATCTCTGGCAATTTGCCTCGGACTTCATCCTAGAACCCTGGAACATGACGCTGCTGCAAGTTTTGTAGCACCTCAAGCGCACTATCCCCCCCCAGCCTTTAGCACAGGCTGTTCCGAGACTCCTTCCATGGTAACCCCTTATGGATACCCTAAATCCCTAAACCCTAAACCCTAAACATGCATAAGTCGTGAACGTCCCACGCCAACTGTGGACCCTGTGCCCAGGAGCCACACCTGGATGCGGATCTCAGCGCCATCCGGCTGAACGGCCGGGGAACCCAGCCAGTTCGGACTCTTCAGGTTAAGCAGGTATGACCCCTAAACTCTAAACCCGTGGCAATAGGTAGTATAATTCGGGCCAGGTAGGGTCTAGCTGAGCAGCTCAGAAAGTCGGTATCACGTAGCAGGTCGTAAAGGGTTTTGGGGGTTTGGAGTTTGAGGTTTCTGGGGTGGATCCTCAAGGACGGTTGGGGGCTTTCGGGTTTGGGTTTCAGGCTTAAGGTTTTGGAACTGGGGGTGTTAGTCCAATAGTCTGTCATTGTAGTAGCAGAAGCTGCTGCTTGGTGCTACTCTGTAGTATTGCTATGACTACTGACAATATTCGGCTCGCCCTGAGCAGGTGCTGGTACGCAAGAGGGAGGCCAGCAGCGAGCTTTCTTTGTTCCGATCGTTGTAGGAATGTTCCTAGATTTGCCCAGCTTGGGGACGCCGAAGCAGAGCCTATTCCACGTTGTCCACCCGCAGATGCCTGCAGGTGTCCATTTGGTAAGTTTCCCACGCAGACACTGTTGCAATGGAGCTTTCACTACCTTGTTTGCAGAGCCGTTGCGCGTCTTGTCTTCTTCAGGGAGTGGCATGCCGCTGAACGCCAAATATGGTTCTGAGGACTGAACTCCTGAGCGTGCAATGCATGTAGAAGCGATGCACGTGAACCATGAGTCGCCGAGCATTACAAGGCCCAGTCGAACCAAAGTTCCGGCAGTTGTCGTTCGTATATATGCATGCATGTATCTATATGTATGTATGCATATATATATATATATGTGAGCTTTTAAGCAGGAACACCCTGCTTTCTGATCTTCTGATTGGACACCTGCCGCTTATGGGGCGAATCACGCCGGGCAGGTTCTTCGTTGTTGATCTTGGCTGTACCTAGTGTATTTCTTACGGTACTTTGTCTTGATGTTGAATCTCATCAGCTAAAACTGGTCCTTTCAGAACTTCTTTTGAGTGCGGGGTGCTTTAAAAGCATGCACTAGCTGCCAGCCACTGAGCTGCCCAGGGACGCAACGTGAGACACTCTCTCGCGGCGGAGGAAGGATATATACATATATATATATATGTATGCATACTATACTGTAGTGTACTGTACTATGATTATACTGTACTACACTACACGATACTATACCATACTATACTATCCTAGCCTGTATTCTAATCTGCTCTATTCTTCTCCACTACTATGCTATACTATACTATACTATACTATACTATACTATTCCACTATACTGCACTACCGCGTATTCCAATCAGACAGTCCGCAGGATATCGGAGCATGGCTGGAGTCGGTAGGCGGGGAGTATGTCAAGGCAGGCGTCAAGCATGCTGCTCGGCCAAAGAAGCCTTGTGGATGTCAGATCGCACAGCAGACGCTGCTCAGTTTCCTGGATCCCCTCAAAGTATGTGTGAGCTCCAAAGCTTTTCTGGCCTCCGAAGCGCTAAACCCTGAAGCTCTCCGTATCTATGGCAGAAGCAGAGGCCATGGTCTTCATTTGTGGCCCTCCGGGCCTTGCAGAGGCAGCTAAGGCCACTCCCATGTCGAGGGTCAGGAAGAAGTATATTGAAAAGCTGTGATGCTGCCTGTTTCAGAGCCTTACACTGAAGTCGGGATGCAGCGGCTTAGGGGTTACATGGCTGCTGGGTGTGCAAGGTTCAGCTACTTACGAATGGTTTGGGTCCATGGTGGTTCTGGACGAGTCCTTTACACACCGGCAGCCTCCCAATCCTCAGATTCAGATCGAGCTCTCTACGCAAAAATTGACCTAATTAAGCTTGCTTACTGCTTTCCGGCTAGCGCCCCCCGACCGCGAAGAAAGACCCGTCCGAAGCCTCAATGCCATCAGACTTGACCCCCAGACCCATAAACCCGTAAGCCGTCAATGGTCAATGCTGAATTCTAAACCCAACATCCTAAACTCTAAACCCTGAGCCCTGAACATTACAATCGTAAAATACTTACCACCGCAGGCCGCCGCAAAGCGCTCGGCCGGGGGTCTCGCATGGCACGTTCACGTGGAGGAGCCCCGCAGTGATAGTTTTGGGAGGGGGTTTTGTTGGGTTTTAGGTTTGGTGTGGTTAAGGGCTTGAAGGTCGTTGCCCAGGACTTCCAGGCCTAAAGGACCTAAAGCTTAGGTTCAGGACCCTAAAGCAACGCTCCTGCAGGAGTTCTTGTTCCTCCCCTCCTTGGGCCCCTGCGCGGGGAAGACATCTCAGACGGTTCCCACTCCAGGCCGGTGGAATGCAGGAATTTGGGTGGCGGGGCTTGGGCTTGGTAATCGGAACGTTTCTTCGCTTATCATTGTGGGTTGTTGAAGACGCGGTGATGCTTGTGGCTGCTGGGGAAAGCGTTATCAGGAACTGATGCTGAGAATGCGAAGCCAATTCAATTTTCATTGATCCTGGCTGGCCACATCGTAAGGTCATAGACTCCAGGCGGACCTAGGTAGCAAGCCCTCTTGTCCATTCGTGAATTTCACAAGATGCTGGCTCAGGAAAGGCTTGATGATTGTTGTGTTCGTGCAGGCGGCGGCAAAGCCTCAGAATGTGGCTTGTCAGCATTTTGCTGCATTGCTTGTGCCTTGATAAACTCTATCCCTATCCCTATTGGGGCAGAGGCCGCCCGCCAAAGAACCAGGAGGAGTTTCTTAGCAGTGTGACGACGAAGAAGGTAGCTGTCGAACCTGTTGCTTCTCCACAGACATGACATACACTCTACCTGACCCCAACCCTAAACCGCTGCTTGAGGAACAGACGCCGACCACAGCTGCTGAAAACCCGGCCCGTCTGGCCTCGTTAATGCTTCGTAGTCCTTCTTTGTTGCTCATGTGCGGTCGGTGCACTGGTGATGGCTGGTGCACAGGAATCTGTAGGCTATACTTACATACACGCACGTACATATACCTATATGTATATATATATATATACAGATATATATGTATAATTATCTACATATATATATATATACTTAAATCAAATCGCTCTGAAGCGGCTCAAGCTTTCGACTGTTTGACTTTCGGCCGGACGCGAGCCCTGGGTTGATTGTGGCGACGCTTGAGAAGTCCTGGAGATACGATGGCCCTATCGAGCACGGTACCACGGAACCTGGCCGGTTTGTCGGAATGTACAAGCGGCCTTTCATATCTGCCCTCGATGCCAGTTTCGGACAATAACATAGTATGATATTAGATTGGACTACTATGTTATGTTAGAGTACGATCATACATCATAGCATAATACCACGTCATATGATGCTATATTACAATACAGTGAGTACTGCTCAGCAAAATTTAAAATACAACGCAAGATATTGTAGTATCGTATACTACCGAATACTCATCATATATAATATTAAGAACAGAGTATAATACTAATAACCGAATCGAGTATAATGCAATGTGGTGCAACAGAAATAATGGAGACCCAGAGGCTTCCCGAGGGCGTCTGCAGTTTGATAGTTGCTTAGCAGCTCGGAGGGCAGCATTTCTTGGCGTGGCGTACGCGGTTTCTGCTGGGTCTGTGTTCACTTCCATGCGTGTATATATATATATATGTATATGTATATATATATATATATTGTGCATATGCATATATATATATATATATATATATGTATGTATGTATGTATGTATGTATGTACGTACAGCTATCTATCTACCTTGATCTCGCTCTCTCTCTCTCTCTCTCTTTGTTTACGCATGTCCCTCAAGCTTGAGGTCCTTTGCAGGTCGTTGAACGAAGTTGCGCTATAGCAAGCAGCCATCACTAGCATCAGCTTTTGCAGCCTTGGCAAAATTGCACCATGTATTGAACTGAAGGTTCCTTAGACTGGTGAGCATTGTAAGACTGTTGCAGCTTGCGAAAGTGGCATTCTGTGGGGCACCCACTTGGCGCGTCCTGCGCATCTGTTTCCTTCCGTGCCGGCGAGGGGGACGTTCCGGAAATTTGCATGTTGTGGCACATTCTCGTGAGAGAACTTCTGACGGATGCTGGAAACTGTTTTTGAAGAGTCCGACAGAACGTCCACCAATCGACCGCCTGGGGATGCAAGTGCAAGGTCATTTGCAGAATTTGTCGCACTCAGGCAGTAGCTGTCTGTGTCGGATGCTGCTTCCTGCACCATCTGACAGCATGTCAGGCCCTTTTGCGGCGGTTGTTTTGTTCAGCTCGATGGCTGAGATTTTTCAGTCAAAGAGAGAAGCTGCTGGCACCACCCTTCGCATAGCTGAAGGTAGTTCGAAAGAACGAGACCAGACAGTTCCGCACCGCAGCGTACAGAGAAGATGGCCGGATGTTTTCAGGATTGCCGCTGCCTTCGGGGTGCTGTGTTGCACGGCCTAAGAGTTTTGGTTGAGTCTTGAAGTGCATCAAAGCCGCTCACCAGAAAGCAGTGAATAATGAATCTGTGACTATGATTTTGCCATGATCGGCTATATATGTATCAATGCCATCCGGCATTTTCGCAACTTAAGATACGGCATAGCACAGCAACACGAAGAGTAGCAATAGCAAGAGCAAGAACCAGAGCATCGACAATCGCCATGACCTGAATGGTCATACGTGTTATCATAATCGAGGATCAGTACCATGCTAAGACTCTCAGAGGCATGTTGTTGTTCTCCTTCAGGGCCTTTGCCGGCACCCCGACTTCTTCCCTCGACTGGAACTCGAAACGAGAAGCCTAGCTTATACCTCCACCAGTGCAAGATCAGGTTGGTCGGTCGGTCGGCCCAGCTCTCAGTTTTGCGTATGGAAGTAGCAATTCTTTCAAGGACCTGCGCGACAAGGTAGAGTTTATGAAGCTTTGCTCTTGGATATCCATCCATCGAAATTTCGCATGAACTCATGTAAGTTGCCCGGACCAACCATAGCGCAAGTCACAAGAGGTCTCGTCTCTTCTCAACTCTTTTCAGCCCACGTTCTTGGTTCACTAAGGCTTCCGCACGCGCTATGACAGCTGCGTGGACCCCCCGAGGCCGTGCTGATGTATAGTTGAGCCAGCGTTTTTCCTCCGTTTATCCGTTTGTTTGCTTGGTTGCTTGATGTTTATGGGAGTGTTGGTGAGTCTCTTGCTGGCAGCAGCTAGGCTGGCAATATCTAGAGATGTATGCGAGTTGGAGCATAGTCGCAGCACACAGATGCAGCAATCGTTCAAAGAGCTGCGGCGGGAGTAGCAGCCAGCGCTGCAGAAGTGCTTTGGCAAAAGAAGAAATCTTCCCAAGCCATGTGCAGCGAACGCCTCCAAAACCTTAAAGTCTTCCGATCTTCTTCAGCCACGGAGGATGCGGGTAGAAGTCGTAACGGACGGAGTGCTTGCCCGACGACTACAGGCCAATGCAGTGCTCCCCCTGGCATCTTCAGTGATTCTCGTGGTTGGGGGTTTAGGGTTTGGGGTTTCGGGTTTAGGGATGTTTAAGCCCAGGCTTCAAGTTTCTGATGTGCTGGAACTGGGTGTTGCAGGCTGCGGCCTTGCCTTTGAATCTTGGTGGTTTTGGGTTTCCTCACTGTGGATCTGCGACGAGCCTTTGCTTTGAGCACCCTCGGAACGTCCTTTGCCAAGGCAGCCAGACGACACACGACCTTGAAGTTGCGATTAGCTGGAACCGTAGACTGAGCAGTTTTTGAATTTGCTACAAACCTTGGTAGTTTTCAGGCAGGGTGCAGTCGTCCATGCAGTCGCAAGATCGCAGTGTCATCGTCTAGCCGCTAGCCTGTGCCTGACAAGACAGGCCAGAAGTAGCAGTGAGCCGCTGCCAGCGACGGAAGTGCCCATGACGGAAGACCGTCCATGCTTCTGCGGAGAGTGCCTGCTGCATGCAGCTGGATCTGCCTTCTGCTGCCAGTTTCGCTCTCGCTGCGGCCGCTACAACCGCCCGAGATTTGCGCCCGCACCGAAGTTCCGGAATTTTACGCACAGATCTACCGAGACTTGGAGCCATATAAAGTCTTGGATGAACAGCACCTGGCATTCTACGATGGATTCTGCGCAAGGCGGCAGAAGGCATGCATTCGGCTGAGAATCGTCAACGGTGCAGCCTATGTCCTCGACATGTTCCCGGGATACCAAAGTCGTCATCGCAGCACGCTGCATGCGATTTATCGAGTGATTTCAAGATTTGGCAACCTTCCGGATGTCGAGGTAACGATTGATCTTACCGATGGCGAGCTCCAGAACATCGACCTCCCGTTTCTTGTCATTACACACAAGAAGGAAGCCCCTGTTGGTATACTCTATCCAGACTTCACATTCTACTCCTGGCCAGAGAGCATGTGCCCTTCGTCTGAGAGCGAGATTTCTCACAACTACGACCAGCTGTTTCGCGAGTTCCGCCAGCACTGGGGGGTGAGGGCAAGGTGGGACATTCTGGAAGAAGCATATTGCTGTTATATAAGGCAGTGAACATAACCCATTGCGAATGGTAGTGCAAGACAGACTCCTGCAATCTGGATGTTGCTGCAGTGATTAGCAGAGGTCTCCTGCACATTTATGGCTGGGCCGAAGACATGCAATCTATCTATCTCTGTATTTGTATGCGTATCATGTATACATAATATATATATATATACACACCTATATAATATATACACATATATATACACACATACATACATACATACATACATACGTACATACATACATACATGCATGCATGCATGCATACATACATACATACATACATACATACATACATACACACATACATACCCATGTATATACTGTGTATCTGATCCAGCCCTCGCCTGAAGCCGAATTTTAGTCTGGCGAGGGCGAACATGATCCAAGCAGCGTTCACTAAACACCCTGGACCTTGCGCATTCAGAGACCCTGAACAGCAGCTCAAACAGCAAAAGCTAGAAAGGTTAGATTTAGATCCCGAGGACCCCGAGTAGCTGACCCCTAAAGAATCCTTCCCGCTGCTAGGCTGCTTGACCCTATAGACCCTATAGGGTTGAGGGTTTAGCAACCCTTATCCCTAAACCCTATCCCCAAAACCCTAAACCCTCAGCCTAAAAGGTGGCAGAACCGGAGTGACACCCTTTTCTGGCGAGGCGCTCCAGTGGAGGACCCGGGCGTTGCCTTTTCGGGTCTTGGGCTTTTCTACCTACCTACCTACCTACCTACCTACCTACCTACATACATACATACATACATACATACATAATTACATGTGTACATGAGTGCATGCATGCATAGCTATATACATACATAGCCACAAGGCTATTTATCTCTATACGCATTCATCCATCTCTAGGCACGGCCACATTTGCATATGTACACAAGGTCTTCAGTCCTCTGGGAGCGACTTGAGATTTGGAGTCAGCTGGCGAAAGATACGGTTTTTGTTAGTCCAGTGCGCAATTCGCTGTCGCACTTGCTGAAGTCTACCTGTGGCGCAAAAGACCTACCTTTTCAAGGAGCTATGTATTGAAACCATAATAAGGAACCCTTTTTACGGTATATAGGTCTTTTCGGCTACAGGTAAGGTTGCTCTTCCCGCCCCCGTCCTGCGGGAGGTCTCGGACCGCATATCATGTCTAGACGAGGATCAAGGTGCTCGTTCTGTGGCCTTGGAGCAGATCGCAGCTGTCGAACACTCCGATGCGAAGTTCATATCTTGGCAGCTGGTGTGCACATACTGATAATGTTCGGTCTGGTCTGCACTTGCGAAGGGTTGTAATTTCAGAGCTTTATCTTGGTTTTATCTTGGACTGTGTCCAGGAAAGCCGTGTCCTCCACTGGCCAGAACGAAGTGCAGGGCTGCGTGGGCTTGCTGGAGCAGTGCAAGCACCGGTATCTCGCCTTCCTAGCTGGCACCACCTACTCCTCACGCATCAAGTACCAGCTGCTTTGCGGTTCCTTGGTCTTGGCCCAAGAGCCTCGCTTCCTGGAGTGGTGGAGCCGGCTTTTAGCTCCTGGAGTTCATTATGTGCCGGTGGAGACAAACTGGGCCAACGTGCAGCCACTGATGCAGCTTCTGCGGCAAAACCCCCTCCAGGCCGCGAGGATCGCGCGTCAAGGGCAGCGGCTTGCGATGACGGCGCTGTCCCCAACGTCTGTTGATTGCTACTGGTGGATGCTGCTGGCCTCAAGCGCACGAGTGCTACCTCCGGCCTCCGGGCCCTTGAGCTTGAATGCCCGGCCACTCGAGGACGTTTTACTTCTTCCCGACGATGCCACGCTATCCTCCCTGCCTGAGCCCAAGAGCCATGCTGGCTTGTGAGATCAGCTTTGCATGTTTGGATGCGCTTGAGGCATGGCCTCAAGGGCGGCATCTCAATGCAGGTGGCCCCGAAGCCCGAAACGCAGGACAGGTGGTGGTCGGGGGTCGGTAGTGGCCGAGTTGTCTGCAATGCAACTGAAAATGATGCCGCCGAGCGGGAAGTCGGAAGGCCGGCACAGGTACATCCAACATCCGGGAGCCTGGGTTTAGGGTATGACCGGTATGACTCATGCTTTTCTTCGTGACTGCATCCTGCGAGCAAGTTACAGCAACGGCACATCTCAGTGTGCCGACCGGGTGTGGCTCAACTAATCAAGCTTCCAGCCGAATTTAGTGCCAAACATGAGATGAGACCAACAAGAGTAGAGTATTCACTTCACCAGGTCGTCCTGTCTACAGTCTACAGAACACAAGTAGTCGAAAGTCCCGCAACGCTCCATGCACTCTTTTGCGATCGCATGCTGCCTGGCGCTGTGCCTCCATGAGGTGCCTTGCCATCAGGCTAAGCGGTCGATGACGGAGACCTAATCATTGTGGTATGGCAGGACATCTTAACCATGATATGGAGTAGACTGTAGATGTAAGGCAATATTTATGATCTAGTCCAACAGCATACAACCTAGAGCACAATATAGCCAAGAAAATGATCTTTTGCGAAAAACATACCTGGGGCATGGATGGGCTATGCTAAACTCCTACCAGCTAAACTGCTACCAGGCGGATCCAGTCAGTTTCGGCATTCATGGTTGAGGCAGGAGCTGCAGCAACCACTGGTGGACGTCGGCTGGACATTGTCAACCGATGTAGCCGCCCCATGGTGTCCACCTTACTTCCCGGTTCTCAGGGTTCTACTCCACCTGAGTTGCAGTCCGGAGAGTGTAGACATCTGCAAGTCCGCCTTACGTCCACGATTCCCATCTCAGTTCATTCCAGGCAGCAGCTTGAGTAGAAGCATTCATCGCCGGACACGTCGTGCCTCTAAGACACCAAGGTCATCGCTCCTACTGGAGGCAATTCTGAGATCCCATGTGGCAGCGGCAACCTGGATGCAGAGTGATTACAAAAAAGATCAAAAAAGTGTAAGTCATTGCTCGATACGAAGTGCGATCCGCGCATGCCAAACTTCACTCCGAATCGCCGAGCCACGGTTCATTCCATGAAAGCTCAGTTGGATCTGACCAAAGCGAAGCTAGAAGCCTCGCGTTCACACTGGGTGCTGCGTTGCAGAAACGGGGAGCTCTGGTTCTGGTTGTCACTGAGGCTGCCCGGGTGGCATGACTTGCAATCCGAAGACGACACAATGCTACTTCGATCTCCATCAGCCAGGAGAAGCCTTTTTTGCATTATGCTGTCGACTTCTGCTAGCTTATGTGTGCGTACTTGCTCGTGACTGAGCTACACAATCAACCCGCGATACAATGGTTAGAGCAACACGGCAATTGATTCTTCCAGACGGGCAGCTTCCGACAGAGCAGGAGAAGACTGGACGATAGCTCCTGGTGAGACACTGGTCATGCACACGCCTAACGAGGCGGTTCAGCAAGGCGGGCTGCGGCTGCAAACGGGGAAGACCCACGTCCAAGTTACCATCATGGGATGGCGTGCGGTTTCAGTTGCAGGTTGCAGCAGGAAAAGTAGAAGCAGCAGCAGCGGCAACTGAAAGTAGTTTATGAAGTTGCTGAGGGAAGGCCAAGAGTGATGAGTCGTTAGATGGTGGTATGATGCGAGAGTAACCTGATAGTCAGTCGCGGGAGCTACAGCCCGGAACATCACGGCTCAACTGTCCTCAGGCAACGGGATCTTTGCCGAGTGGAGCGGGAAGATCGAGTTCTACCCGAACCACACTCAGGATGGCGGATTAATCCCATCTGCTTTCTGCAACAACCAGGACTTCTGTCCGTCCTATCAGGGGCTCAACGGCGTGGCTACTGCCATCGAGTTTACTTTTGTCCCATTCGGCCCAGACTACTACGATGTCTCCATCATCAACGGCTTCAACATTGGAATTGAGATGTTGCCTGGCTGTAGGGCGCAAAATCAATACCTCAAGCTGCTTATTGCAGCGCCAAACCATGTAACTCCTAAGCTGAAATCCTAAATAGTGCTGACAGTGTAGCGACAAAATCCCCTCAGAACCCTAAACTCAAGCCCTAAACCTGTAAACTTGGACGTAAGCCACTCCTAAACCTTACAGAAACCGGTGCTAGGAAGCCCAATTCCGCCTTCACGCAGACGACGGAGGAAGCCGCTGGCAGCTTCGAGGGCTACAACTGTGGCTTTACTTCTCTTAGGAATTAATTATGTTATATTTTTCTTATCCCCACCCTAAACCTGAAAAATCAGACTATAAATATTTTTGTTGTTCGTGTTCTGCGGGCGGCTAAGGTGGGAGTGCTGGTGCCTTCCATCAGCCGGACCCCCGCCTGAGTGCCTGGGCTCTTTCTTCGCTCAGCGCCCGATAATATACAGTCGTAAGTATAATGGTTCCAATAATGATGATGATAAGTAGTAGTAGTGGTAGTAGTAGTAGTAGTAGTAGTAGTGGCAGCAGTAGCAGCAGTAGTTGCGGTAGTGGTGGTAGTAGTAGTAGTAGTAGTAGTAGTAGTAGTGGTAGTAAGGAACAGCACTGCTAAGATTAAGAGCCCAATGTTGAATCGGATTCATTTGGTCCTTGCTTCCCTGCCGCATGGTCGATTCGAAGTGGGCTGCTGCAGAGATGGCCTGGCTCGTGGAGTACTCAACCCTAAACCCGAAACCCGAGGTTGTTTTTTTTAAGCTCCATTTTGGGAAATCCTAGGTTTCTGAGGCTTTGGCGTTCTACAGTTTAGCCGGTTTAGGGTTTAGGGTTTAGGGTTTAGGGTTTAGTGAAACTCGAAACACTGCCCTAACCCCTCCAATATTTGGAATCGGGCTTTACGGAGTTTCAAAGGGTTAGCCCCTTGGTCTAACGGTTATCTATGGCTGAGGGGTTCTTCAAGTTTTTAGGGCTTCTTTACGTAGTGAGTCGGATGAATTTTGGGTTGCAAGAAGCATCACTAGGCGAGCCCTAGTCGGAAACTACCTAAAGCCCACTTACTGAGTCCACTGAGACTCTATGTCGACTGAAGTGGGTGCACTCCCCAAAACAGAGTCATAGGAAAGCGGCTGACTACCCTCCGCTAAGCCTAGAATAAGCACGACGAAGGAGAAATTGAGCCTTGTGCTTGTTTGACTCCGTTGCTTTTTTGACTTCTACCGCGCAGCCCCTGTTCTTATCGTAGTTTGGCCTATATATATATATATCTATCTTTATCCTGATCCCTATAGACCCTGACCCCCTAGACCGGAAAACCCTAGACCCTAAACCGGCTAAACTGTAGAACGCCAAAGCCTTATACACCCCAAACGTGCCCACCTTTCGCTTCACTTCGTCGCTCTTGATCCCTTTCAGGAGTCGAAGCATCAGCTCCTGAGGCAAAGCAGCCGATGAGGCACACTCTCATGCAGGTCGTGCTACTAAGTAGCATCCGTTCTGAGATACACGAGTAAAGAGGTTATACATATGTATATGTATATGTATATGTATATGTATGTAAGTATCTGTATGTATGTATATATATATATATATGTTACACAGACACACTTGCGTATACACCCATGTTTAGACATCCATCCTTCCATGCATCCATCCATGCACGCATACATGCAGGCAGGCATACCTCTCTCAATATGCGTCTATATATGTACACACATGGGTTCACAAAGCATAGCTAGACACATACATATATACGTCCGTACATACGTACGTACATACATACATACATACATACATACATACATCGATACATTTCTTATTCGGGCTCCCGCAGGACCTCGAAGAGCTTCTGAGCTTGAAGTGGCACGGGGACGGGTTTCGGTGAGGCGCTTGCATTCGTCACGGTTTGGGATCGTAAGGCTGTGTGGGAGTTGAGCAGACATGCTTGCTTTTCGAGTCTTCTGGCACGATCAGGCTCCTTTGTTTTACAGCGTTTTAGTACTTGGAAAAGGACCTGCTAGAAGCGAGCAGGCAAGAGGAACCACGGAATCTTGAAGGACCTCCGAAGGCCCACTAAGCGACCCCGTCCTTCAAGATAAAATCCGGCGGCAGGCAGGCCAAGAGTAGTTCGTACATATTCCCCCGCACCTTGGCAAGGCAGACTTACACTGCCACACAGCTTTCCGAGAAGGCTCGCAAAAAACAGCACGAAGAGTCATGCGGTTGTCTGCAGTTTTGTTGGTCTAGACTTGTTTGCTAGCCTACACTGCCTGCACCCAGCGAAAAGAGAGGAGATGGTGGTAGCGACTCCTTGCGAAGGCAAGTGCGACAACAATTGCAACACGAACGAGAAGAATGACCACAACAGCGGTCGCAGCAGCAGAAGGATTCCTACAGTGTCCTTACGCACATGATCGTCTAAGGATCTGCCTCGGGTTCTTCAGTCATCTGGCAGTACATGTGGGAAGATACGGCCCGCCCTTCAAGCGCACCCCGGACTAGACCCTACTCCCACCCAAGTATCGTAAATTCCTTGCCTCAGAATCTGTGCAGGAAACCCTCATAAACCTCGAGCCTGTGCCGGCTTCCTGAGCAAAGATGCTCAGACTTCGACATGATGATGGACCCGGTTGGGGGTGTAGGGTTTAGGGCATTTTCCTGAAGAGCTCAACATCCTGTGGAAGAAACTCGAGAAGAACTTCGGAACCTTCCTATGGTCCCAGAATTGTGAACATGCAGCCCAGTTCTCCCTCCGCAGCACCCTCCTCCTCCTCCTCCTTCCCCACCCATCCCCCCCGAACTCCAAAGACAGAACAGGAATCGGTTGAAGGCTTAGGATTTAGGGTTTCGGGTTTAGACTTTAGGATTTAGGGTTTCGGGTTCAGGGTTTGGGATAAGGCTCAGGGTTGAGTTCTGGAGGTTTTGGGGTTTAAGGTTTAGGGCTTCGGCTTTTCGGGTTCGGGCTTGGCGGGTTTAGGGTTCCGAAGAACTTGTGCAAGCTGCCCCCTAAACCCCCAAACACTACACCCCTAAACACTAACCCTAAACCCCCGAAGCTTAAACCCTCCTAAACCCAAACCGTGCCTGAGCAGCGCCCTCACCTAAACCCCAAGCCCTAAACATCATAAGCCCCAACACCTCAACCACCCTAAACCTTGAATTCCTCAACCCTAACAAACCCTAAACCCTCAACCGTGAACTCCTCAACCCTCAACTTTGAACTCCTCAACCGTGAACTCCGCCGACCCTAAACCCTCAAAGGGGGCGATCACACCGGCGACCGCACCGTGTCACGACGCCACGACCCAAGAGTTCCACCAAAGCCTGACGGTACCAGCGTTCTGACTTGGGTTTAGGGTTTAGGGCTGGTTGGGTTTGGGGGTTTAGGCGTTTAAGAGCTTCGAGGTTTAGGTTTCAGGTGTTCATCACGTAGTCACTAGGGTGTAACTGTGCATCATTTTCATCAATCTTGTTCATGCACTTTTTAGCGAGAGGTGTTATGGGTAGTGGGCCATGGGTACTGCTTGAGCCATTTTCAGTTTTGCCGGTACTACCAGCTGTTTTTCGCTATAACATTATGTTTGTGATCATCGTCGTTTATGTCGATGTGGTGATTGTTGTTGCTTTGATATGGGATATATGCTTTGCATGTGGACGAAACCGATTACTACACCGTCTTTTTCCGTTTGTCGTAGTTCGTTTTGCTACTACGGTCAATATTTTGATGCTGTTTCTCCCGTGCTGTTAGGCAGAAGTTCTGTTGTAATGAAGATGCTGATGGTGGTGATGGTGGCGATGGTG